AAAAAAAAAAAAAAACCATTTGGATACATTTGGATATCAAAACTTCATAGTGCAAAGATGTGCTGGAAACCTATAGCTTTCTAACGGATCTAGGATAATTCCTTAGGAATTAGGTCAGTTTTACTATCTTCTCAAATATGCTGTACTTAATAAAAATCTGCTAGTTATTGTAACTTTCACCTGCAAATATTATCCATCGTTACTCCGGGATAAAGCCTCTCTAAGCAGAGCTCATGCTTCTTGAATATGTTGATGAGGAAACAAGGAAGAATGAATCCTTTTCCCTCTTCAGAGGGACCTCAAACTATCATTAATAAAAAGAAAACCCAAGCCTTCCTTCTCAGGCTCTTGTTGGCCAGGATCACACTGTTCCTAGGAAGGGGAAAAATAAGGAGGACATCCACCCACTGTCTGAACCAGAGGGCAGTGTATCATAGGAAACAAAGGTGCCTGAAACCAGATGGATCTGGAACCACATATTAACCTAAAGCCTCAGTGCTCAATAAGTATTGGCAACTTAAAGAAATAAAATATTTATGTTTTATCTAAAAGGAAACATTTTAAAAAAATCATTTAAGAGGAAGGAAGGCCATCAACTTGCAAATAAAGTAAATGACAAGTTCTGTATTTGTACCTTTTTCTTGCATCCCATCTCCTGAGCACAGTTAGAAACACTCAGAGGGTATTTACCAGAGGTATATAAATATCATGTCACTGAGAAACTTTTTAAAATCTACTTGGTAGCTCTACCCCTAAGGCATGTATATTTTGAAAAACTCCCTGTGATTCTGATATGTACTCTAAAGTAATCCAGTAAGGTAATATAACAGTGGCTCTTAAACTTCAGTGGAGTTAAGATGGGCCCTCAAAACATTAACTTTTTAGAACTATCTGTGGTGATTTTTGATGCATGTGGGTAGAGGGACAAAATTCTTGGAACACTGTTAAATACAACACTGCCAGACATACAAAACATTAATAAATATTTACTGTAATAAAAGGACTCTAAAACAATGTTAAGTGAACTGACTTGACATCTATTAATCTAATGTTGCCATTAACTAAAAACACTTGATAAATAACCAGACTTCAAAGATTGGGATTACCACTAGAGTAACTATAGTAAACAATAATCTATTGCCTATTTCAAAATAGCTAGTACAGAATAGTTTGAATGTTCCCAGCATAAAGATAAATGTTTAAGGTGATGGATATTATAATTACCCTAATTTGATTATTATACATTGTATGAATGTATCAAAATATCACTTGTATTCTGAAAATATGTACATATATTATGTATCAATAAAAAATTTGTGATTAACTAGAACAAAGAAAGCAATGTTTATCTTTACCTCCTTTCTGAAGTCTCCTTCTTTCTGTGGTCTTATGCTATCCAACCAATCAGCTTTTATACCATCAAAATAACTCTGGACCCTGGATTTCAGTGATTCATATTGCCAAATAGCAGCTGATCCAAATGCACAGCCTGTAAACTAGATAAAAGTAGATATATTACAAAATAATTTAAAAGGGAAATAGATCTGTACATTATCAAGGACAGCACTTCATTTTCATTGCTTTTTACAAACCAACAGAAAGAACACCTGGCACAGTGAAACCTAATAGGTAAAAAGGACACTTTACTGTTTATTTTATTAACTTCCCAATACCCTGGAGCCTGTTTCCACCAACAAATCTTCAAACAAAATTCAAAATGCTAACTTAGTATCCGTTGAAATGCTGTACCAAATATGAGGCTCGTTAAGTTTCTTCTCCAGGGCTTACACAACTGAGCCAGTTTCTAAAAGCAATTACTAAATTCACATTCTGTAGTCAGAATTCATGAGCCCAGCTACCCAGATACTTTGATCCCCCTCCATCTGTCCTTACTTTAAGGGAACCTAAAGAAGACAAACAGAACTTTAACACTGCCCTTGTAGTGAGGTAGGTAACTCCTAATGATGTGAGCTCTTACCCCAACAGTAAAAAACAAAGGTTTTACAAGAGTCCTTATAGGATAGGGAGAAGGATAAAAGGCTGTTTCTTCCACAGGAGGAATCAAAACACTTCTTTTGTACGCTGTACCACTTGTCCCTGTGTCTGATCTTCGAGGTTCAACCTTCCTGGGTGCTTTTCTGAATCCACATTTTTGCTGAATAAAGAAGTTAAACCTATGGGGAAAAATAGCAGATTAGAAACACAATGGCATCTTGCAAACATCAACATCTGTGAGTCTCCACTGCATCATCACCATTTCAGTTAATTCTTCTCTACAGTCCAAAGAGCCAGGACCCTACTCCTAGGTAGAATTCAAAGTCACAACAGACACAAAAACAAAATAATTTGTATCCGTCCTCCACATAGAAAGAATCTGCAGACCTATAGGCCTATGAAAAGCTGCAGAACTCGCCAGTTTTGATCAGCACAGAATAGCTTTATCTTGTAAATTTGGTCAATTTACAGGACAAACTTTAAATGTATTGTCCTTCATTAGAAACTAAGAAGGGGGGAGAGTTAAGAAGGGGAGTGAGGGATAAAAAAATTACCTATGGGGTAAAATGTACACTATTCTGGTAACCAGGACACCAAAAGCCCTGACTTGAGCATTATACAATTCATCCATGTAACAAAAGACACCTGTACCCCCTAAATCTATTGAAATTTTTTAAAAAATGTATTGTCCCTGAAGCCATCCCAAATTCACATAATTATTTACTTTTATAAGTACTGATTGATGGATTCCTCTCACTTCTCCCCTATTTCACTGTTTTGGGGACATCCACCAAATATATTTATAAAGAGTTTTGAGTCCTTATAGCTTGACCTCCTTAAAACATCTGACACTACTAATCATGCCTCCCAGTTTTAGCTGCTGTAACACTGCACTCTCTACTCTTCAAATTCATCTTCAGCTCCTAATAGCTTCCCCTTTTCTTCTACCCTAGTTCCTTTACTACATTCAAACTCAACCTATATAAATTCTTGGAACATTCTTCTTTTATAAAACTAACTTCTCCAGGTCAATAAAGTAGAGATCCCTTCCTGTTTGTTCTCACTGTACCCTGAACGTACTATCCTTCTACTAGATCCAAAGTTCCTCAAAAGCACAGATAGGACAGGTCTCTCACCTTTTAACCCAGCCTCTGACACAAGATGCTCACATCTGATGACTAAAAGAAAAAAATTCACTTTTGTGGCTTGAATGACTTCTAAGCAGGTAAATGATTCAAATATATTTTTTTAGTCCTAACAACCATTATCTAGTTCTGTATTTCCAACTATATATGGAATACTAATACTTGGATATGCTCCTCATTACTTTAAAACCAATATATTCAAAATGAAACTAACTTATTCTCCTCTACAAACACCTCCATTTTCTGACTTCCTTATTCTTTTAGTGGGACCATAGTTCTCAGTTATTGAGGTTAAAAATCTAGGCCAGGCCAGGCGCGGTGGCTCACACCTGTAATCCTAGCACTCTGGGAGGCCGAGGCGGGAGGATTGTTTGAGCTGAGGAGTTCAAGACCAGCCTGAGCAAGAGAAAGACCCCATCTCTACTAAAAATAGAAAGAAATTAATCAGACAACTAAAAATATATAGAGAAAAAATTAGCCAGGCATGGTGGCACATGCCTGTAG